TAAAAATATCTGCACGAAATGTTAACCACTTACGTCATATCATGGTTCATTAATCATTTATTAAATCACTTTTGTCTAAAGTCATTTTTGACCAAATGGTGTATATATTTACTATACCTTCTCTACACAAGCAAAAGAATAAGGAATTAACCATTTTTTTTTTTTTTTTTTTGATTCGAAAGTTTCTTATGGGAGAGAGTCTCTATGTGAAATGGATTAATGCTTAAGCAAGCAACTATTCTTTATGCGATGTTTCAGCATTGATAACAAATTTTGGGTAGTAGCACATCCAAAAAATTACGTGCATTGCGGATAATTTCAGTTAGATTTGTAGCAAGTAAGTCTTAAAAAAAACGTAATACCAAAAAGAATTCCTTTAACTCTGAGCAAAGTCCAATTATTGTTTTTCTTAAAATAATGAATGCCTCTGAATAAATATTTTCCCTAAATCGGCGAAGAAAATTGTTAACATTTGCTTATTTTTATAGAAAATAAAATTTTCCTTCGCCTACAATGTCAAGAAATATTCATATTCAGACCGTACTCCGTTGGATGCAAAACTTGAAATACAATGCTGACACCTGGTATTTTTACAAACCAACTGTCAAAAGGGGCGCCAGCGAGTTACAAATCACCCAAAACTTGCAAAAGGCTGAAGCTCATACTCCATGCAACGGATACTCGCCTAAAATTGACAAATAATAACAATCCGAAGCAAAAAAGAAATTAAACTCATTGGTCAGACAAATCGGTTCGTTGCATATAGTATACCATTTGCCCAAAAGGCAGTTTTCACTTGCTTCTCTAATAAAATACCAGTTATGAAACCCTGTCGCTATACGACACCTTACTTTACATACGGCAAGGGGCCTAAGAAAAAGGGAGCGGAAGTCATATTTTGCCCAATAAATTACTATCTAATATCATTGTTTCGGACCAATTCCGACCACAAAGCACACAAGTTTAGATTTTATTCCTGCATAAACATTTATTTTCTGTGCCAACATTTATGTGGAGCGAGCTTCAAAAACTACATCATTCTATCCAAGCTCCTCGCATTCAAACCAAAAATTCTTTATTGCGTTTGTCTTAAGTCAAAAATACGCTGGTGCACCAAGCAGATCGAAGAGAAAGATAGATGAACAGACAACAGACATTCAATCCCTTTTAAGTCGCGTTGCTGCTTAGACCAAAATGTCGTAGAGCTTCATATTTTATCAAAATATCTCGAAAATTTTGGACAAACCCTTAAGTTAAACTCCAAAATATATAGTGTACTTCGGATATACATATCAACAGACAGGCACGCCGACAGAAAGACAGACCGACAATCAGGCAAAGGCACAGGAAGCTTTAAGTCGGCTCAGAAAATAATTCCAAGGCCATTGCTGTAATAAGATGGTGCCATTGGTTGAATGATCTGAGCGATCGTTCTGACTTTTAAGCTTACCCCAAGTGATGCAATCCATGTCAGATATTAATCCACATCTTTATATAAATACATCGTCTCATTGAGAAGGCAACAATAAATATGGTTACGAATCATTAAGGTCCACAACTATCAAAACGTTCGCAATCGATGAGCGAATTAATTTAGAAACGTTTCTGGCAGTTGACAGTACACTGACCTGATAATTCTTCTCGGCGACGGGAACTCTCCGTACAGAAGTTATCCAGAGCTTCAGAATCGGTCTGCTTGCAGATAACCCACTAGTGTGGACATCCAAGATTTTATTAAAGTCTGCTATGATACTGAGGGGACCGAAGGAATAGTAATGCAGTTGGCCTGGCGTTGGTTGAGTGATACTTCTGCTCAGACATTAAGAACCCACATACGAAAAGTTTGATGGCAGCTTAGGACATATGGATAATCCAAATGCAAAATTAACATAATCTGGCTTAATGCTTATCATCCGCAAGCATTATAGCCCGACGACGAAAGTGGAGGTTGGTGCAACAGTTGGCGTAGGAGCCACTGAGACTTGATAGCTGGATACGTCCCTTCAGAATATATTGTAGTAGCTTTGGTCACACCAAAAGGGCGGGTGCCTTAGATAATTAGAATTAGGTGGGCTTGATCTTACTCTCAGAGCAAAATTCGGACCATGCACAATCTCTTATATCTAATACTCCAGCTTTGGTATGACTCCCTTATCGCTTGCATGCATCTCTCTAAGCCTAAGCTTCGCTACTGTTTAAGATGGCACGGCAAGGGTAGACGTAACATTTCGAAGGTATCTAAAGTGCAATTTTACCGGAACGACTACTAATTACACAGAAAATTTTAATCCCCGCTGCAGGATTTATTTAAGATATTTCTTGTTGTGTTACAATCATAACGACAAAGTGAATATGTCAACAATCCCAATCGTTGTTAGGGTCTTTCTTTACAAAATTTCTCTTTATGAAACTTTTGAAAAAACAAAAAAAAAAAGTAAATAAATAAAAATTAAGGTCATGATCAAGTTTGTTGCTTCAGTCTTTTGTTTTTGTATCGTTGATTTATCGATAAAATGTTGTAATAAAAAATGTATACATGCTAAACCTAAAAGACAACAAAAACGCCCCTTTTTTTTGCTGCTGCTTTAAAATCGCTTTGCAGAAATGGTTCTTACCTGCATTTATATATCTATAATATGCGTATGTGTGTATATAAACCCCTTCCGAAACAGCCGCTATATAAGTAACGGAGCTGTCTTAAAGTTTCTCTTCAATAAAGCTCTAAACAAAAACAACGCATACAGATACAGATACATACAAAAACATAACTTAAATGATGACAGAAAAGCAAGAGAAAAAAAAAAAAAAAAAAAAGGCGAAAAAGAAAAACTTAACGCTGTTTGTAATGACAAGGTAAACCACATTTGCCCATTCCAAAGTTGTCTTTGTTGTTGTTGTTTTGTTTCTGTTTGTTTCTGCTAATATTGTATAAGGTTTAGCTGGTTTTATGCTTTGTTTTCATACAATTTTTAACTGTTACTTTGTTTTTACTTCTTACGGTTTTGCAAGCGTTCTTCTTCTTCTTATTCTTCTTTCTTCCTTTCCTTTCTGAAATAAGCGGCGATTTCTTTGCCCTTTTACAGTTTTAATATAGGAAAACAAAGGCAATTCTTAAGACCAGTTTTATGATTTTATTTTTAGCTATGCGACCGCGCGGTTCCGCGCGTAATAATGTCAATCCCATTCGATTCAAAAAAGGAAAAAAAAAAGAACAACACAGAAGATCGCATAATCTCGTAAGATCGTTTGTTATGGTTGTCATTGCTTTTTAAGGAACAGAAAAGGTTTTCAGATATTATTGTAAAAATACTGTTAACCACAAAATGCCGGTTGTTATTGACAAAGATCTCTCTCTCTCTCTCTCTCTCTATAAGAAAGAAAAAAAGAAGAGTTATTTTTATTTATTTTACAGGAGAAACATTCCCTGAAAATATCTATATATATATATATATATATATATATATATATATCTATATATAACACTGTGGATCCCCTTTGTGTATGTGTAATATCCTACTGTTAAACAATGAAGATCAATTGTAACTGCAGGGGGTGATATATATGTACATATGTATATATATATATATATATATATATATGAGTAAATTAAAAAGTTCGTGAAGGCGGTTGATAATTGAAAAACTTATAGTGAAGAGGTGTGTAGTCAATAAATCCTCCTTTAATCAAACCTTTTTTTTTTAATTTGTTCTATTTTCCCCAATTCTTTCAATTACACCTCATTTATCGTGGTTTAGGAATTTCCTTTTCAGTTCGTTTCTTTTTTTTGCCTTATAAGCCGTTTAGAGATGTGCCGCTAAGAGATTTCTGTGTGTTTCTCTCAAGAATTTTTGTCATAGAAAATTGATGACCCGGTTCCAAAATTTAGTAAAATGAAATAAAAATAAATTTTATCTGATGTTGTCCAGAATTTCTTGCAAATTCTCCTCCTGAGAATCACTTGATCGGTAGAAATTTCTCTTCAGGAGTGCGATTAACAGCCTAAAGAGTTTAAAAGAAGAAATCACTTAGGCAATTTTTTTCGGGATAGAAAGAAAGGTAATGCAATAATAATTTATGGAGGCGACTTTGGAAAAATATTGAAAAATGGGAATACGACAGCCTTTCTTGTGGGGCATCTTCAGATAAATAGGTAACCTTGGACATTCCGGTATTAGTAGGCAGACATATTCTAAACGACATTATAAGTCACAAGGTATTGTTTTGTTTCTGGTTGGGTGACTTGACTGCCTTGATTTACAAGAAAGCTGATTGGAAAATTACTCCGGAATACAAAATTTGGAAAGACATTGCTTTGGCTTATACCTAGTGACGAAGCGATCAAAGCTTAGAATATATCCCAAAATGTTATGTCATTCATGCTGTCAAATATTCAGGTTTCTCGTAATTGCACTATAATAATATCTAGAGCAGTATTTAAAATAAGCGCTAGAATGTTCCACATGTCCTGGATACGTAACCGCTTTTTAACAATGATTTTGAACTTTCTACCCACCGCCGAAGGATAAGCGTTACATTCATTCTGTTCAAGCGTTCAAAGAACGCATAAAGTATACATCTTCTCGATCAGCATAAAATCTTAGAGCGAGCGTATAACTGTCGGTCTATCTTGAGCCCACAGTACAACATAACCTGAGACAACTTCTGTGCCCTATAGAACCAAATCAAATATTAAATATTGCTCAGCATCAAATCTGAAGCGTTCTAGTAATATTTGTCAGTCCGTCTGTCCACCTGTCTGCTAATTGTTTTACTAAACGTATCCATGTTTCCATAGATGGCGATATCTACTTCCGACATACGAAAAAATCGGCCACGCCCACTCAACATTATGGAGAATGAAATTTTGTTTTATTCCTTTTTGTTTCGCATTTTTTTCGAACAACGGTGATGGGTATGAAAAGATTCGTTTGCAATCGTAATATTCGCATATATATGACTTGTTATAATTAAATTTTTAATAATTCTTTGTCTATTTTCAGCTACAAAAACAAATGTCGCCGCATCAATTGCGAGCAATATTTCACGTTGATACATACGATTCAATACCAAACTATGAAATTGTACAATTATTACATCACAATAGCGACGCCGAAGCGTTCAACCATTTACCTCATTATAGACGTCGTAGACGTAGCATAGAAGACACGCTGCCAACCGAAACCGAAATTCATCAGCCCATAAAAAAGGATTTAAGTAAAACTGCCTATTATAGCAAATTAAAACGGGAGCAATATAAACGGAATGAACATGTGAATAGCGTGTACGCTGGACTGGCGGATGATTTACGAAAGGAATTTAAAAAAGAACATAAAATCACATTTGAAGCGTTCGGTGAAAATATAAATTTAACGCTGCGACCGACACAAGGTTTATTCAAAGATGCAGGCGGAGCACATAAGCTACCCATGTGGTATGTGCATCCGGAGGCGAACGCAACCAACGGTTTGAATATACAAAAAATTGAAGATGAGGTAAGTAAGACGGTACTTGAATTTAAAGAAAGCAGAGAGAAGGGCGTTTCAAATTTACTTTTTGTTGTTGTCTTTCATTGTTATTTCTGCTATTGTTATGTAATCTTTTTTTAGTTTTTTTTTTTTTTTTTTTTTTTGTCTGGTATTTCAACTTTCATTTTTCTATTTTGATCCCTAACTGTAAAATTATTCAGTTTATTGTTAGACTGAGCGAGCTCTCGTATATGAAGCACTTGTATGCAGTTTATGTTTAATCAAATAAAACACTTCCGCAAAAATACCCTCCTCCTGCTCTTATTATGATCGTCGTTATAAAGTTTATGTTTATGATGAAGCAATAAAAGCAACAAGAAAAGAAAAGCATTTTAAGATTTTATAAGTAAACTAACTAATTGGAATTGATTAAAGAAGGGAATGGGATGGTCTTGGAAAAATCAAAAATTTTTAATAATAATTTTCAAGTATAAGTAAAAGATAGAATTTTTTTTTGAACTCATTATCGATGGTTTCATTATTGACCACAAAAAAGTAAATAATTTCTTTTTTCCACCGTCTGATGATGATGAGGTTCTTCGTCACTTTGTCAAAACGTCAAAGCAAGAGTTCGAAGGACGCTTCCAAGATGAGAAGAAGTACATAAGCTCATCTTCATCTGAATCGTTCACCATTATCCATGTGTGATCAATGTCTTTGATTAGCATTTCTCTGATCGCAAAAAAAAATTAATATATCATGATAGTATTAAAAATGGGTCCCATCCGTCTGAGTAGGCGAAGGCGAGGAATCTCGACTAGCAAGTCAATATTCGTGGGTTCGAATCTCAAGTGCGCTAGAGTTTTTAATAAAAGCCGATAGCCTTAGATGCTAGTGCTTTTAAGAGTTTAGTCTTAGAATTTATTTCTCTGGCGAAATTAATAATAATAATAATAATAAAAATGGGTCAAATTAGTTGAAGCATACGCCCAAAGTAAAACAAAAACTGAGAACACCTCGACTGTTAAAAGTGAAAAAAAAAGAACTTTTTGTTCGTTCCTCCATAACCTATAGGCGTTCCGTACAGTGCCTGTGAACAAAGACGGCCTGGACCAACATTAATCGGTTGGAGAGAAAGTTTTGTCGTTTTGTATTCATGTACTTTGCTTTAACACAAACGCAAGAGATTTAATGTGTTCTCTAACAGTTCTATGATGAATGTTTAAGAGTTAAGTCTTCTATAATTTCCCGACTTGTTAAATGTAGATTATTTTCTAACATGGATCGCAAAACATCATTATTGGTCACTTTCTTGAAAGCTGAGATCGCCGGAACGAAATTTGCCCAGTACGAATACATTTACAATACCTTTCCATATACCGCACATAAAATTTTACATGCAACCGATGCGTTGCATCCTTTTTTGGAACTCATACAAAATACGGTGACATAAATGCACTTTATCTACTGACATGCTTTTCACTTTAAATATCACAAGAAAAATTGCTTGCCTATTTAAAATACGACAGAACTTTCCCTCCAACCGAATATATAGCGTCGAAATTTAACGATTTTTTCGCTGTAAAAAGGCATTGATTGTGGAAAATTGATGCAATGTATGTTAATTAAAATATATTCCATCATTTTCTACAACTTTTTGTCGCCTGTCTGGCAACATATCGATAGCGGAGTATTGGTTTGTCAGCGATCCATCTTTGAACACTTCTTGAAATTTGCGGACCTGCGTGCCAGTCAAGCCATACTGCAACGTTTTGAACAAGTGGTAATCAGGAGGTGCCATGTCTGGTGGGTCCGCTGGGTGTGGCAGAACTGCAACACTGTATCCTGGACAACTCTTGCAACAAGTGATCAAAAAATGGCATTTTCAGTCAGTTCGCGTCGCCACTTTTAAACCCTTGAGTCCAGAACCGGCAATTGAGATATGATGGAGCAGCATCACGATAAGCCTTTGAACGTGTTTGGTGGGCTGCGGCAACAGATTTCCTCAAGTAAACAGTGAAAGTAATAAATTTGAAAGAAGAAGAAGAATTGATTGCCATGATTAGCGTCCTCGTGCGCTGACTTAATCAATAATATTGAAGGGAAAACAGTTATTTTATGTAGAGAAAGGCTAAAATCATCGAATTTAATTATTGTTGTGTGCCGTGGCATTTCCCACTTGTTTATCATTTTTATCTGAATAAGTCGCTGACCAAAATGTATGCAACCTCCCAATATAAAAGATTCGGTTGCACTCGAATGCAATTTTTCCACTTTCTATGCCTGCCAGTCAACAGATATTGTCTTGACTTTCGGTATTTGACTTGTTTCTCCCCATGCTACGTTCAAGAATGTCTATTGATATATATATTTTACTTATTTATGTTATTGTCTACATATTTCGTAAACAAATGTAGAGTAAGCATTTACAGGCTGCCGGTGAACTTAAAACATATTTCCGCCTGCATGGAAAGCTTTACGGCACCTAAGATTTAAACTTGCGACGATAGAGTTGTTCGTCGCGACCCTTTGTCCACTAGACTACAAATACATTCTTGATACACGTAGCATTCTGAGACTATTTTGTTCTCGGGTATGTCTGTCGGTTATAGGAGGTATGTCAAAGCGCTATACGTTTAGGAAGTTGCAGAAGTACGTGATCCGGCCTAACTAGTCTTAGAGCGTCTATCTTTAAAGAAACACCAGAAAAACGAAAAAGAATTATTTTATTATTATTATAGAGAATAAATCCTAGGACTAATATCTTAAAGTACTAGCATCTAAGGCTTTCGGTTTTATTAAAAACTCTACCGCACTTGAGATTTGAACCCGCGACCCTTGTTTTGCTAGTCGAGACTCTTGTCTACTCGGCCACTCAGGCGGATAAGAATTATTTTAAAAAAGAAAATAAAAGAAAAATAAAAAAAATAAAAAAAAACCAAGTTATAGCAAAAATGGATCTGAAGTTTAACACAAATCTTTAATGTGATCAGTTTAAGACTTTGAAGCGAATAGTCAATCAATGACACACTTATAATTTGGTGGATCTAATTCTGCTCTTAGTGAAGCGATGGGTATTCTAGACGCTCTTTAAAATACAAACGAAATTCTTGGCTTTTCCATAAACTTCATTGAAAGACGAAAAATTCCTTTTTGGCTGAACTTTAACCATTTGTACAACACATACAAACATAATAACCAATGATTATAAGTATAAAGCACCCACATTCTTTTTTTTTAACAAACATAAATTTACGCTTTTGTGTGGAAATATTTCGCACCCACTATGCAGAAATTGAGGGAATAATGATTTTGCACATTTGTTCGCAACAAGCCTGTGTATTGCTTGGCATTGCCTATATTTGGCAAGCGCATATTTTAACTAAGATGATTCGTTGAATGGTGAATAATAGTCTCTCTCGCTCTTCGACTGAGCCTAAAGCGTAAGTCTTGGTCGTTTTTAAATGCGTTCAAATGCTAAATGAAACAAAAGACTGGAAACGCTATAGATAGAGTTTCGTTAAAATTTAAATATTTTTACATATATTCCCGAGTAATACGAAGTGAAGCAAATGTTGATTCGTACAAGAGAGAGGAAAGCTTACAAAGCATGTAAACTTAGAGCTACAACTTCTATGTCAAAAGACGGATAGACTGAGAGAAGCCATAGTCTTCCAATGCTCTTAATAGCATACCTAATACATTTCGGGGTCCTTCGATTCATATTTTCAAGGGTCAAAAGTATTTTTCAAACTGAATACACCTTCATTGAGTTGTACCGCGAGTATCGGCAGATTTGCGCTAAACTTTACACACTCTTTACTTATTCTTGTTTTCTCGTACATTTTCCATTCATTTTGCCAACAATCTACTTTGGAACGAATTTTTTTTTTAAGGAAAATATGTTTCACATTTCAATTTATGTTAAAATGCAATTAATTTATACCGCAAGCCCACGTGACAGAGCGACCTCTCTAATCTTAAGCACATATATCATAGCTAAGAAAACCAATTACTATAAATTATTTTATAAATTACCATTAAAGAGAAGACTTATACTTAACTACTGTACTTAAGTTTTGAAATATTTATTGAAAATATCAATAAATTTGAAAAGAAGTTATCAAAAGCATAAAATGTTTAAATTTATTAGAAAAGTTTTCAAAAACATTTCCTTCAAAAAGCTTTAAAACGTTATTTCATAAAGTGTGCTTGTGAGTATGAATTTCGAAAAATTATTTTAAAAAATTTATATATAAGAAAATATGCGGAATTAATCTATGGAAAGTGCCGAGAGAGCCAGTCAGAAAAGCTGCATATAAAGCATAAGTGATGGTTAACGGATGTATTAGCTAAAAATGAAATCTTCATAAGGAGATATTTATTAAATACTATTCTAAATATTCCAGACAGTAATTGCGACTATTCTAGACTAAACTTTAAATTTCAGCTTCTTTCGATCAGCGATCTTTATCTATCCGTTTGAGATTTAGGTATTTCGCTTTCACGCTGATCAAGCTATAAAGCGATTCATGCTCGCTGGAAGGGACAGTTTCCGATGCTCTGAAGTGCACTGACTTAGTTAATATGCAAGAAGGATCCCAAGCCACTCATCCGCCTCCAATCCATTGTGCTTTTCTTCCATTAATCTAAAGAAGCCGTAAGCCGTGATTCTTCGCGTGACTTATTATAGATCGAAATGAAGACACGGGTCGTACGAAAGTCTAAAAATATTTATACAAATGTAGTAAAACAAACTTTTTTTATTTATATTATATTAGTTTGGAGGGAAGATATTACGAGACGTTTGCGATTAGGTACTATTTCGTGTTATTTATTGAGTGCTACTACTAATCAAATTGCGTCATACGGATCTTCGCAAAGTGAAATTTGACTCTCTTATTTTCAAGGACGTGGGCTGCACAAGAACTATGATAGATGATAGACCGTCTAGACCTCTAGACGTTTTATCAAATAGCCTGTAGCAATTTGACTAGCCAACGTTCCGGAAATACGTGTCTTGAAGA